AACTAAATTACTTTTATATCCTTATTTATTTATTCTTATAATTAATTATTTAAGTTATTATTTAATAAAACTTTTGACTTATAATTATTATCTTATTCTTTTAAATATGTATCATTTTTGTTTGATTCTCCCTCACAAGTAAAACAAGTTTCATATCATGAAACATATACATTGTAAAACAAATATATGCTAACCAATAATTTAAATCATAACGTTAGATGAAAAAACATTCAACTTAAGATAATACCTGATGCATCCGGCTCTCACGATTATCCCAATAACACTATTTTAGGTTCTCATTTGATTAGCTTTCGTTTATCATATACATAATATCATATAATAGTATCAATTAAATGAATATCAATCAAATTACATTAATGAATGATAAATTTGGAATAAGGCAAGCAAATTAGAATTTGACAAATTAAGAAGTTAACGTTTTTATTGACAATTATGTTACATAATTTAGCATTAGGGGTATATAGTTTATTTGGTTGGATTGAAGACATATAATGTTTGTGGTTTAAAAAATCATCAACCCAATTCAATCTAAACAAAAGTATAACCCAACTCAACTCAAACTGTACGGCCTGGGTTAGTCGTGTTGAAACTTTGGTATATATCATTTCATTTTACAATCTAGTTAAGTGATTGTGTTTAAATGAAGTAAAATTAAAATAAGAATATCCAAGTAAGGCTAACAAACTAAAAAAAAGGACGTTGAATGCTATGCAAATAAGAAAGTAAAATTATGATCGAAGTGGTTAAGATAAACTAGATCCCTAAAGCTTCCAGCACATGGAGTATGTGAGTTTTGGGCATCAGGATGCTCCATATTTCTGTATGTGCTGTAATTGTTTAGCTCATGTTGTTGCTAGCCTCCAGACACTTTGATATTGTTCATTGAATACAATACAATATGTTGAGTATATATATATAAATAGAGAGAGGAAAGTTCACTTGCAAACATGTTTTCCATTGCGAACTGAGGGACAAACTAGAGCTCAAAACGTCTTCCCACTCATCATGAATAATGGACGTGACCTTTTTACGACAATCATGATGAATGTTACCCATTCATGATGAATGTCTGGGACATATGGCGTACTCTCGTCGGTTCGCAACGGAAGCAAGGTTCACATCTGGACCTGCCCCTATATATAATTATTATATGAAAATATACCACTGTTTTTCCAATCGTGATAACCGTTGCTTCAAATCAAATTCCTGGCTGCGATTTCATATTTTACTCAAGAAATTGTGATTTGACATATGTAGGGTGTGGATTTTCCTGGTGGTAGGGTTGCTTTCACTTCCGAAATGAGCTTCCTTCCTGAGTCATCTGAGAAGCGAGTGCAATGTTATCGAGTTCTTGATGACAATGGCTATCCACTTTCATCTACGCAATTTAAACATGTACGTACCCATCTTATCTACTTGAAATTCTTCATATCGGCACTAGATTTCAAACTTTTCTGTCCATTTGTATTATAAAATATTGATATACAGTAAAACTCACACACACACTCCAAAGTCAGGTTTGAATGCATGACCGCCACAAAGGTTGGACTCTACTAGTGGAATCCAGAAACTTAAAGTGACTGGGTGCCCTAGGACTAGAGTATAAGAAAATCTCAAACTGATAACTCATTCAAACCACAATGGTGTAAGGTTATTCAGTTTGTGGGTTTAACGATTTGGTTGTTGACCGAATAAGATAAGTTTTCATTTTGATTTTTTTACCATATCAGTGAACAAAGTGCAAACTATACTATTATTTAATTTATATAATTTTTCTCTAGATGAATTGGTTTGAGCATATATAAAATTAAAATTAGATGAATTGATTTATCTTTAAACTAAAAGAACAAGAAATTGAGCTGTATTTGAAAAAACCATGGACCACGTTGATATTGTAGCATAATAACATAATTGCAAGAACTAGCAGTTCAAACACACTTAATGTGTGCGAGAACGACTGTCAAGCGTGTGAGTTGCGGTTTTATCAAAACGGACCGGACCATAGGAGAATCATCGTAAATGATGGGGGAACTAAGGAAGTTTGAGTAAAAAAATTTATTTTTACCAAAGATTACTTAAAAAACTTAACCTTTGAGCAGGACTTTCCCCCCCACACCATATCATGTACATCCGCCCTTGCTACTAGTAACCCAAATACCGTTTGGTCAATAACCATTTGGTGTGTGAAAATGTGTTTGCACAACATCTCTATTAGAAATAGCAAAAAATCTCGCATATGAAGGAGAACGCAAGACGCGGCCACGGTTTGACTTGGGACGGGGATAGTACCCTTCATCCCCATCCTCAGCCCCAGCCCCGACCCCGAGCATTAAACTGTTAATTATACATTTCAATGTACGAGTATATATACAATATATATAATGGATAAATATGTTCAATCTTCCATGATCATGAAAAACTAGTAAAAGGAATTACATTATTGATTTGGTTCGTTTGTTGATATAACGATGTGATTGTATAAAATTTCAATTATCAAGTATTGTAACTGAAGTACGTTTTTAATGTTACTCGTATACAAATGTTACAATTAAAGTTTGGTAGACAATATTTTAAACGTAAAATTGATATTTATATACATAATATATAAAAATATTACGTAAATAATTAAATGGGGATGGCGGGAACGTGGATGAAATCTTATTCCCCGACAGGGATGAAGAAGAGGATTGGGGATCCCGTTGCCATCTCTAGTCTCTATATCGATTACTAATTTTGAAGATATACGAACCGTTTAGGTGAGTAAGGAACTAGCGGTGAAGATGTATCGTGGCATGGTTACCCTTCAAACTATGGATACAACTTTGTATGAAGCACAAAGGCAAGGAAGACTATCTTTCTATGTTACCTCCTATGGTGAAGAAGCTATCAACCTCGCATCAGCAGCAGCGCTTGGCTTCGATGACTTGATTTTGCCACAGGTATGAACGACCGTCTTTATGATGCTTGCACATTGAACATGATTCTGTTAACATATATGTATGAATTATATATGGTGTACGCAGTATCGGGAAGCAGGAGTGTTGCTGTGGCGTGGTTTTACGCTACAAGAATTTGTCAATCAGTGCTTGGGTAACAAGAATGATTATGGGAAAGGCAGGCAAATGCCGATTCATTACGGATCGAATAAGCATAATTACTTCACCGTCTCCTCCCCTATTGCGTGAGTTATTGCGAATTATTAATGTTCATTCATTTAGCTCGTTTTTATAATAGTAATACGAAAACTGTAGTAAAATAATATTCGATTTTTCGTCATACAGGACACAACTTCCTCAAGCTGTTGGTGTTGCTTACTCACTAAAAATGGACAAAAAGGATGCATGTGTTGTCACCTATTTTGGTGATGGCAGTACAAGTGAGGTACAAATTCTGTAAATCCTATTCTTTCCCCCTGCAAAGGGATCCGTTAGAAGGTGAGAAGTGTAAGAAGGGATCTGGACCCTTGATCACCTTTAATCTAAAATCCACCCCATGAATTGCACTTGATACGTGGATTTAAACACAAACTAATAAGCTTAAGAACGCGGGGATATTATATTTTCACTTTCACATATATTACAACCTCAATTTGGATCTCTTCTAACATCGTGTTTAATTAATCTTGTAGGGAGATTTTCACGCTAGTTTGAACTTTGCAGCGGTTATGGAAGTCCCTGTTGTTTTCATATGCCGCAACAATGGATGGGCTATCAGCACTCCTATCACCGAACAATTTCGAAGTACTTGTTTTCCCCTCTAACTTGTTTAAAGTTTTTATAAATCTACATACAAATTTGTCATCCTTTCCATGACTCCAATCCATGAGCTACGAGATATCGACACGATTCTCATACAAGGTTTTATTAAACTTGTACATTCCTACGTCAGCTTGAACGGATTACACCACCACTTTTTATAGCGGGTCCATCGGTTAAATTACCTTGTAATAATTTTCTTTAAATCCACTTCCATACGCCAGAATGTCACTGAATTTGACAAAGGTTATGTCGTAAATAAAAAAAAATGGCCTAAAAAGTCGTTTTGTAGGCCCCCAATGTTTATTTAATAAATGAATTCACTCATTCTCCTTTATTAGAATTTTTAGTTATAAATCATGGACAGGTTCATGATCGGAGGTATGAAAGTTTAGTAGGAACGAAAAATGCCAGAGTCATGTACTCGGGTTCATGATCGGAGATGGAGATGCTATTCTATGAAGCAATCGTATTAAGCATGTTTAACCTATCGCAATATTTTGAAGAACGAGTACTCGTAACGTTAGATTTCACCATTTCGACTTCTATTTGTGGCAGGTGATGGCATCGTTGTAAAGGGACAGGCCTATGGTATCCGAAGTATAAGAGTGGATGGAAATGATGCTCTCGCTATTTATAATGCAGTCGGTGTCGCTCGAGAAATGGCCATCAAGGAACAACGGCCAATACTGATTGAGGTATTAGCCTAAACTCTTCCTGAATCACTATAAATTCAATCCAAAACTTACTTGTATCAACCTGGCATTACAACAAAATTGGTTCATAGGACACCACCAATAAATAACTGTCCAAATAGATTGCTTTATACGACTTAATTTATAGTACCAAAAAATAAAGCGACCTATCTGTAATAAGTTTATGGGACGCTTTTGGGCGTCTAAACAAGTTTTTTAGAACACTTTTAATACAAAGCGTCGTAATAGCTAATTTATAAGACACTTTTGAGAAAGTGTCCTATAAACCTATCTTTTTATAAGACACTTATGTTTATACGACCTTTTTTCAAATAGTATCCTATAAAATAGCTAATTTTATATAAAAGTGTCCTAACAAACTTGTTATGACGCTCAAAAGAGTCCTATAAACTTATTACAACGCATTTTGGTAGAATGTTTTTTTGGGTCCTATAAATTATGTTTTATAAAGTGCTCAATAGTCCTGCACATCCAATTCTGTTGTATTGGGGTGGAGGTCATTGGAGCTGTTATCTTGGGGGGCTATGGGCTTTTCCTGGTTGTTACTGTTAACTAAAAAACAGAGCTTAATTGCATCCATTTCATCAATCATTTTCAACTACTTATATACATGTTTCTTATCTTTTATGGTGTAAAACACAAAGGCTCTTACATATAGAGTAGGACACCACTCTACGTCCGATGATTCAACAAAGTATCGGCCTGTAGATGAAATCGAACACTGGAAAACAGCTCGAAACCCTGTATCAATATTCAGAAAATGGGTCCAGAGAAAAGGGTGGTGGAGCGATGAAGAAGAATCCGAATTTCGAGCTAACGTTAGAAAACAGGTATCATAATCTAGTTCTACTAGCCTTTATTTTTCTAAAATACTGGAACTGGATTCCATTCGTTGTTGCGTTGTGTACTACATGCAACAAAGATATGGAATTAGTATCGGTACTTTAATGCCAACTAAACTAAACCAGATCAAACGAAGCCAGTAAATCTCAGACTTTATTGGAAATTGCGTCGTTAGTAACACACCAAACAGATAATTTCAAAGAGGAAAACACTTTATCTAAAGAAGCAAATTGTTCAATGAAATGGACAAACATAGAATGCATAAATCTGAGTTTTTATGGTGTCTTGGAGGTTTCCATAACGTCTTGAGAATGCATCTGACACTACGACAAAATGGGTCTGTTTAGGATGATTAGTCGTCTTTCTGTGTTCCAATAAAATACTTGACGGGATTTTTAAATTTTAGGACCAACTTTTATACGCTCTATACAATGATCGGGATGAATTTAGGTGTCATAAAAAAGCTACTTATTTTTTATGTGCTATTAGATTGTTCAATTTATTATATATAGAAGTCAAAGTTGATGTTATAAACTTATGTCATATATTATGGTGAATAAGACAATTAGGCATCTTAAGAACCCATTTTGCTGTAATGCATTTTTACCAAACAAGATTCTTCTCTTAATGATTCAGATGTTGCCTTTTAATAGAACTGTTAAGAAGTAAACAAACAACCCTAATACACTTACAAAGCCAAATTTGTGGTAATGCAGTTTGAATGAGTTTTTGAATATTGATTTGGACTGATGGGATGGTTGTGTGTATAGGTGATGGATGCAATTCAAGTAGGTGAAAAAATAGAGAAGCCTCCACTTGCAGACATGTTTAGTGATGTATATGAAGAAGTACCTTCAAATCTAATGGAGCAAGAGAGATTGGTTAGAGACACCGTAAAAAGACACCCACAAGACTATCCAACAAATATACCATTATGACCTTGAAAGAAACATCATCTAAAAAGTAGCCAATTAAAAGCTTTCTAAGTTATGCAATTGTGAATGCTTCATTTGTGAATATGGATAATATGTCTTTTCTAAGTTATGCAATTGTGAATGCTTCATTTGTGAATATGGATAATATGTCTTTTCTAAGTTATGCAATTGTGAATGCTTCATTTGTGAATATGGATAATATGTCTTTTCTAAGTTATGCAATTGTGAATGCTTCATTTGTGAATATGGATAATATGTCTTTTCTAAAGGTGTTTTTCGACCTACGAACGTCATTTATCAAAACGCAACTTAAAAGTTCATAACAATTTGTGAAACAGAAAGATCGATCAACCGGAAATGTTGAGTTGTGGCTTCTTTTATAGAGAATTTTGGGGTACGGTTGAAAGCGATGTCTTGTATAAGAGCACCTTCATATAAGAACCTTCTTTTTTCACTTTTTATCATCAACTCATTTTTAAATCATCAAATTAAAAACCCTCTTAAAAGTTTAAAATGGTAGTTTTTATAGTCTCATTGATTCTTTCAACATCAATAATTATTATTATATTAATAATTATAAAGTCAAGAAAATAAAATAAAAAATTATCACTTCTAACAAACTTCAAGGTAAGAACCAAGATTGTTGTTCAAGCACCTAAAGGGTATGAGGTTCTTATAAGAACCTCTTCACAATTATAGTTTTTACAAGTTACTACATTGCATACTAATAAAAACCTTATATTGAAGATGTTGTAACATGATTCACTCTCAATTAGATTTTTTTTTATTAACCTGGATATCCAACCCGTTATGCGAGCCGATTAATCTCAAGATGACCACCTGTTTTGTTTTGCAGATAGCCTGGAGTCATCGTATTTGAATTAATATATATATATATATATATATATATATATATTGTATTTTGGATATATGTGCAAACCTCAAATGGGTTTTGTGTTTTTTTTTTCACTATAAATCTAATATGTATTGAAATGGAAGATAAACCTCTCCATGAGGCTATACTGTCTATTTCAATCAGACATAAAAGAATATAAAAAACAGTTCATCTATGAAGGATCGGGTGAGAAGAAAAATTATGATTTGATCATTTTTAATCTCATGTCCATCCATGAATTATGTTTTAGAAGAGAATTGACAGGTGCACCTCATTATTATTGACATTCAGTTAAGATTGATTCAAGGGTGGAGATCTTTTCTTACTTTTCTTACCGTAACTTCCCTTCTCATCGGAATCTAACCCTCATCTTTAAAAGGTTAAAAATAACAAACTCATTTTTTTTAAATCCAAAGACTTATATGAACGACTCAGTAAATATATAACTATATAAGCATGTCGAATGTCTCATAACAAGAATGTACCACACAAACTTTTCATTACAACGGTCCAACTTACTAACAAATCAGATCCTTATTGTTTGTGAAAAGTTGGAATTTTATTCTGAATAAAATGCACTTTTCAGTTTCACCAATTCCAATTGGGCACGACCGGATTCCGTATGTAAAAGGTGGGGGATGGGTCCCATTAGCCTTTTTTCTCTTTTACCTAGATTAAAAATATTTTTTTAACTTTCCACCACAGTTCCTATCAGTAATTCCTCACTTGTGCCTCCATCAACCAAAAACAGTACCTCGAAAATCAACCGAAGAAACCGAAAAAGTCTCTCAAAATGGACAAAAAAAAAACTTAAAAATCCCTAGAAATCAACAAAAAGAACTTTAAAAATCTCTCACAACAATGGAATTAGGTTAAAAACACATCTGACGACTTTGCATGTCTTTAATCTACCTTAAAAATGACCCCATTAAACAAAAATTATGAATCCTTTACTGTCAACAGGTAGAATTGGATGTTCGAATGAGACCACGTAACGAAAAGGTTCAATAAGTGTAGAGGACTAGTAATAAAGAGGCATAGCAAATAAAATTTGGACTTAAACCATATATTCTTAGGAGGTGTTTGGAATTGCTTATTTGAAACAACTTATGTTTTTTTACAAAAACACTTATCAACTTATTATAAGTCAGAATAATTTAATTTCTTCAAAAACTCCTTATTACCGGGTTGGCATCGGTATAAGTTGTTTATTCAAACACTTAAAAGTGCTTATTGCTAGTGCCATACCGGAATAAGTCAATAAGTTGTTTTTATAAGCAATTTCAAACACCCCCTTAGTAGCAAGATGACATAATATGGGTGTGTTTGGAAGGAGATTTGGATCCAAATAGCCATCCGAAAACAAAATATCGAGTAAAATATATGCAAATCTTTTTTTTTTTTTTGGAGAAGTTCATTCCACTGTCGAAGATCGTCTTCAGGATAGGGGTGTAAATGATGTGAGTCGAGCTTGAGTATCAATATATTCGACTCGAACTCAATAGCCATTTCTCAAGCTCGAACTCGACACAAAAACTCATGAGTAGTTAAAAACTAAACTCGATATGAAAACTCACGAGTAGTTAAAGCCTAAACTCAACTCAAAATCGATTGCAATCTTTTAAACTCGAGCTCGAACTCGTTTGAAGCTCGAATCGAGCTCGAACTCGTTTGAAGCTTGAATCGAGCTCAGACTCTAACTCGAATCAAGTTCACCCGGTCGAAATTTAGAAAATTTTAGAGTATTCTCTTATAAATTATAAAACCTGAAGGTGTTCTCTTAAATTTTAAAAAATTAAAGGGATACACCTTAAACTTCATCATAAAAAAGACAAAGTTACAAACTTTATTCAATTTTCTCTCTTTTTATAACACTCTTCATCGTTCTTTTACTCTCTCTCTCTATATGTTAGACAACTTCACCAACAATTTTATAAGTTTTTTGTCGTTTTTAATTATGATTTTAATAAAAAAATATTATTGATTAGTTTTTATAATTAAAAATGCACAATATTCTTCAAATATCTAAACATATAAGACATTTTTATTACATTATATTATACATATTATATTATAAAACTGATTATATTTTAAAAATTAATTACATATAGAAAATCGAGTATCTCACGAGCTTTTCGAGTCGAGTATTGGGTAGCTTGACTAGACTCGTTAATATGTGGAGTTGGATTCGAGTTTGAGCCGAGCCTATTCGAGTCGAGTGTTGATCGAGTCGATTTCGAGTAACTCGCGAGTTGTCTCGTATCGTTTACACCCCTACTTTAGGGGATGACGCTTATTTCACTAATAAACTAAAGACTTTTAGCTAGGACTTATTATTGGAAATCCGTCGCTAAAGGATGATTCGCCACAAAAAACTATCACAAAGTGGGATCTTGACTAAATTAACCCTCCAAAAAGTTCAAATTATAAAAATAACCTATAAAAGATCATATTACAAAACTAGGTTCCCAATTTAGCACTACATATTGCTTGGTGAGTAGGGGGCTTTTTTTGCAAAAAATATATTTTCAAATATGATGATGTGACCCCTTCAATGTGACGGCGGTTGATGGTTTAACACTGATTGGTGTTTAGTATATAAGGGTTCACTTTAATATGTTTTAATATAAATAAACATATTTATTTATTATTATAATATTTTATAAAAACTTAATGATTATAATGTATAATTATTTTCTATAATTAATATATATTATTATATGATCTTTTACATAAAATATATTAAAATATATTTATTTATATTAAAACATATTAGAATAGGTTAAGGGTGGGCCCCTTAAGCACTAAGTACCAAGCGGTGCTAAATGTCAACTTCGTCACATCGAATGAGTCACATCATCAGTTTTTAAAATATTTTTTTTGCAAAAAAATCCCCCTATGCACCAAGCAGTATGTAGTGCTAAATGGGGAGTCATTTTTTGAAATATGATTTTTTGTAGGTTATTTTTGTAATTTAAACTTTTTGGAAAACTAATTTAGTCAAGATCCCCACAAAAGTTGGTGCGTAAATTGTCGGTGGTTAATTTAAATAAGTGACAGGTTACCGCCGGCCATCGCTGATCTGAACCACCGTCGACCATCACCGATTTGAACAACCACCGATCTGATCCATCATCTATCTGAACCACCCCCGATTTGAACAATCGCCAATCTGAAACACATCCGACCACTGTCACCTGAAGCACCACAGACCACCACCAATCTGAACCACTACTGACCATCGGTGACCACCACCAATCTGAATCAACGCCAGACATTGTCGACCACCAACTCTTAATCACCGCCGGACACTGCCGACCACCAACGATTTGAATCACCATCGGACACTGCCGAACAAACAACGATTTGAACCACCGCCGATCTGAACCGTTGCCGCCACCGCCGATCTGAACCACTGTCTATCTGAACCACCATTAACTACCTCCATCTGAACCCCGCAGACCACTATCGATCTGAACTACTGCCGACCACCGCCATTTGAATCACTGCGGACCACCACCGATCTTAACCACTGTGGACCACCACCGATCTTAACCATCGCCGACTATCGTTGATTTAGTAACATCATTTCGCTTATGGTTATATTTGGATTTTGTATTTTATATTGTTTTACATATTAAAGGGTTGTTTGGGATTGCTTATAAAAACAACTTATTGACTTATTCCGGTGTGATACCGATAATAAGCACTTCTGAGTGTTTGGATAAACAACTTATACCGGTGTCAAACCGGTAATAAGAAATTTTTAAAGAAGTTAAACCATTCTAACTTATAATAAGTTGATAAACACTTTTGTAAAAAAACATAAGCTGTTTCTAATAAGCAATCCCAAACACCCCTAAATAATTATTTCATTAAAGTATTTTTAGTTTTAAAAAAAATTAAAATTTTCAAAAAGGTGCATTTTGGTCATTTATCAGTATTTCATTCAAATTTCAAAGCTACATTCTGTGAATTCTAATTTCTTAACAGATTCTATTTCAATGTCTGCCAACCAAACAGGTGGTCAAAACCTGACAACATTCCATTCTAATTCCTTCAAAGTCAAATTCCATCGTTTATAATGGCTTCCCGCTGACCACATTTCAACCAAAAATTTCCTCCCATTTCCTACGTCGACGGTCTTTGGTTAACAAAGAAAACTGGAATGGCAACCCATAATAGAATCAAGTATTGTGATTTGGGCGTTCAAATTTGTGTAACTATTTCATCATAGACTTTTGAAATTCCGGAGGAAGAAGATGTTTTTCTATTCGTCATTTAGCACATTATACAATCATTTCTGCCAATTTCCATTTGAATGCTTAGCATTTTCACAAGATATCCTGTAAATGTACTTAACTTTTGCCGTT